TCTGTGGCACTCTCAGGGACGGTGTCTGTGGCACTCACTCTCAGTGATGGTGTCTGTGGCACTCACTCGCAGGGATGGTGTCTGTGGCACTCACTCTCAGGGATTGTGTCTGTGGCACTCACTCTCAGTGATGGTGTCTGTGGCACTCACTCGCAGGGATGGTGTCTGTGGCACTCACTCAGGGATGGTGTCTGTGGCACTCACTCTCAGGGATGGTGTCTGTGGCACTCACTCTCAGTGATGGTGTCTGTGACACTCACTCTCAGGGACGGTGTCTGTGGCACTCACTCGAAGGGAGGGTGTCTGTGGCACTCACTCGAAGGGAGGGTATCTGTGGCACTCACTCAGGGATGGTGTCTGTGGCACTCACTCGCAGGGATGGTGTCTGAGGCACTCAGGGATGGTGTCTGTGGCACTCACTGTCAGGGGTGGTGTCTGTGGCACTCTCTCGCAGGGATGGTAACTGTGGCACTCTCTCTCAGGGATGGTGTCTGTGGCACTCAGAACTCTCAGGGATGATCCCTATGGCACTTTGTGGCATTGTGACAGACACCTCATCCCCCTATACCCCCACTTGACCTCTGATATTATTTTCTGACCTCTCCATCTAAACCCTCTCTCTCTCTCTCTCTCTCTCTCTCTCTCTCTCTCTCTCTCTCTCTCTCTCTCTCTCTCTCTCTCTCTCTCTCTCTCTCTCTCTCCCTCCCTCCCTCCCAGAATGAAGGTGAGGGTGCCAGCTCTCCGTGGGGGGGGGGGCATTATAAAGCACCGTGATGGGATATTTGAAACTTGCTCACTTTAGTGAGAGCGTCGTCGACTGTTGAGACGAAATTACAAAGTTTGGAGCAGTTTGCATGAGCCAGACTCCTGTTTTATGGTGTCATCTTAACTGATTTGTTTACGGGTTTTAAGTTGTTTTTTTTTTAAGTTGTTGTTTTGGTTTTTTAAGTTGTTTTTTTCGTCTTGTTTAGTAGCCTCTAAAACAATGCTTTCCTTATATATATATACATATATATATATATATATATATATATATATATATATATATATATATATATATATATATATATGTCGTACCTAGTAGCCAGAACGCACTTCTCAGCCTACTATGCAAGGCCCGATTTGCCTAATAAGCCAAGTTTTCATGAATTAATTGTTTTTCGACGACCTAACCTAACCTAACCTAACTTTTTGGCTACCTAACCTAACCTAACCTATAGAGATAGGTTAGGTTAGGTTAGGTAGGGTTGGTTAGGTTTGGTCATATATCTACGTTAATTTTAACTCCAATAAAACAAAATTAACCTCATACATAATGAAATGGGTAGCTTTATCATTTCATAAGAAAAAAATTAGAGAAAATATATTAATTCAGGAAAACTGGGCTTATTAGGCAAATCGGGCCTTGCATAGTAGCCCTAGAAGTGAGTTCTGGCTACTAGGTACGACATATATATATATATATATATATATATATATATATATATATATATATATATATATATATATATATATATATACACACAAAAACACCTCAACGTTTGTTCCTATTTGGCGCCGGGATCGTTCAGGGATTCATTCCTATCTAGCACCGGATCGTTCAAGTATTCGTTCCTATCTAGCACCGGGTCATTCAGGTATTCGTTCCTATCTAGCTCCGGGTCGTATTGGTTTTTGGTGGTAGAGAGGCTGTGAGGCAGAGGATCAATACACTAACCATGTAGGCACCCCCAGATGGATTACATCCAGGAGCCGCCCAGCCTACAGGGCTTCCCCTGGATGCCATCCTCCTCTTTCCTCCTCGTTTAAAGCTATTGATTTATACCCCCCGAAACCGCTCAAATTATCCGAATATACCCCGTGGATTCGGTCTTCTTGTCACGGGGTCTTTATAAGTGTCGTGTGAGCTGGTGTTGGCAGGATAGAGATAGGTGTTGGGAAGACTTGGGGGCTGGAAGCCGGCTGGAAACCTTTGCTGGAAGCCCTCTGGCCAGGTGGGGCTGGCGCGCGCGTACGGCCACAAGGATTATTCAAATATCGCTTCGGCAAATTGTTTATTGTTAAACATGGTTTATTGAGTAATTTTAGGGAGGAGGAGCGATAGGCCTGGTCTGGAGGAGGGTAGGGGAGAGAGGGAGAGCGGGGAGAGGTATTGTGAGTGATGGTGAGGAAGGGAAGGGGTGAGAGAGGGGGGTGAGAGAGAGAGAGGGGGGGGGGGGTTCATGAGGTCACTAAGCTGGGGCGGCCAGTAGTATAGTCGAGGTGCACCTCGCGTCAACTTCTATCTGGGTCCCGTCTCTCTCTCGCGCCTCGGACGGTACTCGCAGTACCGCTTGAAACCCCACAGTAAGAGGGAGGTTTAGTCCGGTTCACGAAGGCCTCTGAACCGAGACATTCTGTCGCTGGTGGCTCCCGAGGGACGTCTTCAAGACACCTGTGTGCGTTTCTGTGTCGTTCCTTTTTCTTCTGTGTCGTTCATTTTTTCCCGCCCCGAAGCTGTGGTTGTCACAAGGGCGCCCCCTGGCGGCCGGTAGTGTATTCCGGTGACCTGTGACCTCGGTGCGGCGATGGTGGTGACCTCTCCCGTAGGGGACACGACGCGCGGGGAAGCCACCATCGGCAGTAGCAACTTGGCGACAGGTAAACGAAGTTACTTTCTTAGCTGTAAAGAAAAAAGTTGGACGAAGGTTGAGGAGAAGAAATGACAGGTTTAAGCCGAGTCTTAGCGAGAGTTGTGAAGGTCTTGACCGAGTCCAAAGTGTTTCTTAGTGCTAATTAATGTTTCGAGGTAAAGTGAAACAAGTCCTTACGGCTGTACCCACAAGTACCCACCTGAGGTCGGTATTGGTGCCTACCCTCCTCGGCACATATTCCTGCTGGCACTTCTATGAGAAAGGAGTGCCAATGTGGCACCATTCGCATCAGTTGGTCATGAACTCGGTACCTTTTTATTTTTTGGGTCCCGGTTCGATTATGCTTGCTTTTAAAGGTTGTAATTGGTGTGTAACGGGAGAAACTAAATCATTGGTATATCCGAGGGATATTTGTAAGGGGGTTTGGTTAGTATGGAGCCGGGGGTTCGAATCCACTTGTGCTGCACCCTAATCCATCCTCAAAGGCGGTGTTCCTCGAACCCAGGGCGTAAACGAAGTGCTGGGAGGGAAAAATTCGAACGTAATCACGTGTGAATCACGTGTAAAGTGCTTTTTGCACATAAACAAGGAGGAGGAAGGAGGGAGATGAAGGAGGGAGAGGGGGGAGGAGGAGTGGGAGGAAGAGGGGGAGGAGGAGGGAGAGGGGGAGACAGGAGGAACCACGTTAAGGACCCATCAAGAAGGATGAGGTAGGAGGAGGAGGAGAAGGCTAAATTAACAAGCATTTAGCCCATTGTTTGAGGACGTGCTGCTCTCCTCTTAAACATAGACCTAATTCATCCTTAATCCAACAAACAGCTGTTTATGAACGAGAGAAACTTGACACAGTTTCACCCCCTCATCAAGAGGTAACGACTTACAAACTAAGAAGTGTCCGCCTTATCTTCCCTCTTTTGAATTTGCTGTAATAATGAATAGATGAGCATTGGGTATCTGGAGAGAGAGAGAGAGAGAGAGAGAGAGAGAGAGAGAGAGAGAGAGAGAGAGAGAGAGAGAGAGAGAGAGAGAGAGAGAGAGAGAGGGGAGGAGGGTAGGTAGAAGGAACTATGGAGAGGGAGAGGCGTCCGGAGAGATGGAGGGAAGAGGGGGGAGGGGGGAGAAGAGTAAAGTAGGAACGCTATGAACTACTTAAGACCTATGTATGGGCACTATTGCTTGCTGTGACGAGCAGTCAAGAGTGCGCTTAAGGGGCAGCTTGGGTCAGAGGGTCAAGGGCGAAGTGTATCACCGGTCACGAATGATATGCATCATTCCATCTGTTATCATTCCGGCCATGTTGACACCAAGGTGCCACAGGGCCATGTTCAGCATGTTCTTACTCAACGCATATATTCCACAGCTCATGTTCAAGGTGAACTTATTTGAATCCTTATATTGGAACCCATCCTCCTGTCTCTATAGTACGTTTTGTTACTTTGTACACCATCGTACATATATTGACGTAGTGAACAATAAGTTGAAATTGGTACTATTCACTTCCCTAAAAAATAAAGTTTTGAAAATATAAAACCTTAAACGAAACTTACATATAAATAGGCCTAGTATAGCATTCCAAGATGTCCTGATATCACATATAAGGATGCCACGGTCTCCAAGGTGACCTGATATCACAGAAGAGGATGCCACGGTCTCAAAAATGACCTGATATCTCAGAGGAGGATGCCTCAGCCTCCAAGGTGTCCTGATATCACAGAGAAGGATGCCACACCCTCCAAGGTGACCTGATATCACAGAAGGCTGCCACGGCCTCCAAGGTGTCCTGATATCACAGAGGCCTCCCCATCTCCACGCAGAGCTGCCTGGGATATTCACAAGACCTAGCAGTGTCAACATGAGCCTTCAGATGGCGCTGGGTGTTCAGACGAAGGGATGGGGCTGTTGGTTAAGGGGAATAGGCAATGGGTCGTTGGGGAGAGGAAAATGAGAGGGGAGGGAGAAGAGTGTTGAAGGAGAGGTATAGGTAAGAGAAAGAGCTGATCAGAGATAGAGAGAAGTGGGGGAAGAGAAAGAGGTTGAGAACAAGGGAATAGAGGGATTGATTCATTTGGTCACCTGAAGGGGCTTTAATAATCTTTAGTTACGATGTCGTTTATTCCCCTCGTTAAGCGTCACTCAACGAGTCCCTGGAGATGTATATATGTCACCGTTATGGTCTAAAAGTTTGTGATTTACCATGCTGTAGTGGCTGGCTTGCGGCTGTGTTTATAACGAATTTAGTTTGGTGTAATTATGTGTTTGTGTAGAGGCAGTTATTATTAATATTGTCATGTGTGATGAAATTGTTGTTTGTTACAGGCTTCGTGTTGAAACGTTAAACTACTGTAACCTTTAATTGGTTTGTTTCAGCGGGTTCATGGATGGTTCCGGCTACTGACGGAGTCGTTGGGGCGTAGGAAGCACTTCGCTGTCTCCTTCCTCAACGCCTCCCACGAGACCACTAGTAAGTAGTTCCTCTGTGTTGTCTTGTATGAGAGCCTAGGGTCTTAGACCGTGTGTGTGTGTACTCACCTAGTTGTCTGCTGGATCGAGCATTGACTCTTGGATCCCGCCTTTCCAGCCATCGGTTGTTTACAGCAATGACTCCTGTCCCATTTCCCTATCATACCTAGTTTTTAAATTATGAATAGTATTTGCTTCCATAACCTGTTCCTGAAGTGCATTCCATTTTCCCACAACTCTCACGCTAAAAGAAAACTTCCTAACATCTCTGTGACTCATCTGAGTTTCCAGCTTCCACCCATGTCCCCTCGTTCTGTTACTATTCCGTGTGAACATTTCGTCTATGTCCACACTTCAATCCCCCTGAGTATTTTATACGTTCCTATCATGTCCCCCCTCTTCCTTCGCTTTTCTAGTGTCGTAAGGCACAGTTCCTTCAAGCGCTCCTCATACCCTGTCCCTCTTAACTCTGGGATGAGTCTCGTTGCAAACCTCTGAACCTTTTCCAGTTTCCTTATATGCTTCTTCAGATGGGGACTCCATGATGAGGCGGCATACTCCAAGACTGCCCTCACGTAGGCAGTGTAAAGCGCCCTAAATGCTTCCTTACTTAGGTTTCTGAATGATGTTCTAACTTTTGCCAGTGCGCTGCTGTCGTTATCCTATTTATATGTACCTCAGGAGTTAGATTAGGTGTTACGTCCACCCCCAGGTCTCTTTCTCGCGTCGTCACAGTTAGGTTGTTCCCCTTCATTGTGTACTGTCCCTTTGGTCTCCTATCTCCTAGTCCCTTTTCCATAACTTTACATTTGCTCGTGTTGAACTCCAGTAGCCATTTCTCTGACCATCTCTGCAACCTGTTCAGGTCCTCTTGGAGGATCCTGCAATCCTCATCTGTCACAACTCTTCTCAACAACTTTGTGTGTGTGTGTGTGTGTGTGTGTGTGTGTGTGTGTGTGTGTGTGTGTGTGTGTGTGTGTGTGTGTGTGTGTGTGTGTATTCACCTAGTATTCACCTAGTTGTGTTTGCGGGGGTTGAGCTTTGCTCTTTCGGCCCACCTCTCAGCGGTCAATCAACTGGTGTACAGATTCCTGAGCCTACTGGGCTCTATCATATCTACACTTGAAACTGTGTATGGAGTGAACGATATGGAAGAAAATGCAGAATAGAACCAGTTAACAGCAGAGGTGCCATAGGCACAATCAGAGAACACTGTATAAACATCAGAGGTCCGCGGTTGTTCAACACCCTCCCAGCGAGCATAAGAAATATTGCCGGAACAACCGTGGACATCTTCAAGAGGAAACTAGATTGTTTCCGCCAAGGAGTGCCGGACCAACCGGGCTGTGGTGGGTATGTGGGCCTGCGGGCCGCTCCAAGCAACAGCCTGGTGGACCAAACTCTCACAAGTCAAGCCTGGCCTCAGACCGGGCTTGGGGAGTAGAAGAACTCCCAGAACCCCATCAACCAGGTATCAAATAGGAATCAGCCTCCACCACATCACTGCCTAATGTATTCCATTTGTCAACCACTCTGACACTAAAAAAGTTCTTTCTAATAATTCTCACATATTTCACATGTCACACACACACAATGTGTGTGTGTGTGTGTGTGTGTGTGTGTGTGTGTGTGTGTGTGTGTGTGTGTGTGTGTGTGTGTGTGTGTGGTGGCGACGATGGTGATAATGGTGATGATAATGGTTGATAGTACCGTTAATAAAGGCAGACAGGACAAGCCTCGCCCCTTAAAGAGGACAGTGTTTACAGCGACCAGGAGGCCACGAACGCCTCGACACAACAGCCTGGCAGATCAACACCAGGTGCAGCTCCGATCATAGTGATAATGAAAGCTCTCACGTGTGATAGTGAGGCTGGGATGGTGGCAAGGATGACGATAGTGACACGAGTACTGTAACTAATTATCACAGTTTAAATAGAATTAACGGAATAATAGTGACAGTATTAATGATCAAATTGTTGATTACTGAGGAAGAGACAGATAGACAGACAGACAGACAGGCTGACAGACAGACAGACAGGCTGACAGGAAGACAGACAGACAGGAAGACAGGCAGACAGACAGACAGGCTGACAGACAGACAGACAGGCTGACAGACAGACAGACAGACAGACAGGCTGACAGACAGACAGACAGACAGACAGGAAGACAGGCAGACAGACAGACAGACAGACAGACAGGAAGACAGGCAGACAGACAGACAGACAGACAGACAGGCTGACAGACAGACAGACAGGCTGACAGACAGACAGACAGGAAGACAGGCAGACAGACAGACAGGCTGACAGACAGGCTGACAGACAGACAGACAGGCTGACAGACTGTTAAACAACTGCAGGGCTCCTGAATATACCGTTTAGTGAGGGGCAATAAGTCTTTACGGCCGTTTACGAAGCGAGAATAGTGACCCAGTAGTCGTTACTCCCATGTAGAGTACTAGGGATTCTGAGCCTTAGTGTTGCTCATTGTGTGGTGATGACCTGACCTGGGGGGTGGTGTAGACCTGACCTGGGGTGTGGTGATGACCTGACCTGGGGTGCTGTGTTGACCTGACCTGGGGGGTGGTGTTGACCTGACCTGGGGTGTGGTGATGACCTGACCTGGGGTGCTGTGTTGACCTGACATGGGGGTGGTGTTGACCTGACCTGGGGTGTGGTGATGACCTGACCTGGGGTGTGGTGTTGACCTGACCTGGGGTGTGGTGTTGACCTGACCTGGGGTGTGGTGTTGACCTGACCTGGGGTGTGGTGATGACCTGACCTGGGGTGTGGTGATGACCTGTCCTGGAGTGTGGTGATGACCTGACCTGGGGGGTGGTGTTGACCTGACCTGGGGTGTGGTGATGACCTGACCTGGGGTGTGGTGTTGACCTGACCTGGGGTGTGGTGTTGACCTGAACTGGGGTGTGGTGTTGACCTGACCTGGGGTGTGGTGTTGACCTGACCTGGGGTGTGGTGTTGACCTGGGGTGTGGTGTTGACCTGACCTGGGGTGTGGTGTTGACCTGACCTGGGGTGTGGTGTTGACCTGACCTGGGGTGTGGTGTTGACCTGACCTGGGGTGTGGTGTTGACCTGACCTAACCTGGAGTGTGGTGATGACCTGACCTGGGGTGTGGTGATGACCTGACCTGGGGTGTGGTGTTGACCTGACCTGGGGTGTGGTGTTGACCTGGGGTGTGGTGTTGACCTGACCTGGGGTGTGGTGTTGACCTGACCTGACCTGGAGTGTGGTGATGACCTGACCTGGGGTGTGGTGATGACCTGACCTTGGGTGTGGTTTTGACCTGACCTGGGGTGTGGTGTTGACCTGACCTGGGGTGTGGTGATGACCTGACCTGGGGTGTTGTGATGACCTGACCTGGGGTGTGGTGGTGACCTGACCTGGAGTGTGGTGATGACCTGACCTGGGGGGTGGTGTTGACCTGACCTGGGGTGTGGTGATGACCTGACCTGGGGTGTGGTGATGACCTGACCTGGGGTGTGGTGGTGCTGACCTGACCTGGGGTGTGGTGGTGCTGACCTGACCTGGAGTGTGGTGGTGCTGACCTGACCTGGGGTATGGTGGTGTTGACCTGACCTGGGGTGTGGTGATGACCTGACCTGGGGTGTGGTGTTGACCTGACCTGGGGTGTGGTGTTGACCTGACCTGGGGTGTGGTGTTGACCTGACCTGACCTGGAGTGTGGTGATGACCTGACCTGGGGTGTGGTGATGACCTGACCTGGGGTGTGGTGTTGACCTGACCTGGGGTGTGGTGATGACCTGACCTGGGATGTTGTGATGACGTGACCTGGGGTGTGGTGGTGCTGACCTGACCTGGGGTGTGGTGGTGACCTGACCTGGAGTGTGGTGTTGACCTGACCTGGAGTGTGGTGTTGACCTGACCTGGGGTGTGGTGTTGACCTGACCTGGGGTGTGGTGTTGACCTGACCTGGGGTGTGGTGTTGACCTGACCTGACCTGGAGTGTGGTGATGACCTGACCTGGGGTGTGGTGTTGACCTGACCTGGAGTGTGGTGTTGACCTGACCTGGAGTGTGGTGCTGACCTGACCTGGGGTGTGGTGGTGACCTGACCTGGGGTGTGGTGGTGACCTGACCTGGGGTGTGGTGTTGACCTGACCTGGAGTGTGGTGTTGACCTGACCTGGAGTGTGGTGATGACCTGACTTTACAGGGATCGAACCACTATCCCCCTTTTCTTAAGAGGTTTACAGGTGTAAACCGCTTTGTTTGCGCATATACTCCGAAAGTTTACCTCCTCAAGCTTACCAACTTCTTGGTCTAAAAGCTAATGCGTTTACCCTAAATCTTTCGCGGAACGCAAACACGAAATCAATCTCCACCCAGCAGACCTGTGTTCTACATGAACATTAAATAAATAACTATTTCAGTACTTTAAGGAGAGTAGCGGTACATTTTTGTGTCTAAATCACAAAGAAAATCAAAATTTTCTTCCTGTATTAAGAAGGGACAAACAAAAATGATTTTGATTCGTATGAATAGATAGCATAAATGTTGCAAATGGGCTGCTACCTTACCTTGAGGTTACCTTGAGGGGATTCCGGGGCTTAGCGACCCCGCGGCCCGGTCGTCGATCAGGCCTCCTCGTTGTTGGACTGATCAACCAGGCTGTTGGACGCCGCTGCTCGCAGCCTGACGTATGAGTCACAGCCTGGTTGATCAGGTATCCTTTGGAGGTGCTTATCCAGTTCTCTCTTGAACACTGTGAGGGGTCTGCCAGTTATGCCCCTTATGTGTAGTGGAAGCGTGTTGAACAGTCTCGGGCCTCTGATGTTGATAGTTCTCTCTTGAACACTGTGAGGGGTCTGTCAGTTATGCCCCTTATGTGTAGTGGAAGCGTGTTGAACAGTCTCGGGCCTCTGATGTTGATAGAGTTCTGTCTCAGAGTACCTGTTACACCTCTGCTGTTAATGCTATGTTGTTGATTCTGTTCAACAACATACTTCTGTTCCCCTACTTCGAGC